GGAATTATTGCGCAACGGAGTTGTTTGCAACGGAAGTTTTTTGCAACGGTTTTTTTTGCAACAGAAAATGATAGTATCCGTTGCAATTTTGGCGGGAGGTTGGCGCCTTCTTACGGGAAAGATCTGCAACAGAGATCTACAACAGTATTTCTGTTGCAGAATGTTTGCTACAGCTTATTTAATGTTTGCAACGGACAAAGTAGTTGCAATAAATATGTTACGTTACTACGATAAATTAAAGCTTTTTTGTACTTTATATTTTTCATACTCTTATTATATGGTTACCGAGTATAATTTTGTTGCAGAGTTATATATATATTGTGAGTACATTGTACATTTATATGTTAAACTAATTAATTGTATATATTTTTTTTTATGTTTTTATGTGTAAATATTAATAATTAAAATTATTAACCCCAAGAGGTATTAGAGAATTTAATTACAAAAAAAGTATATTATAATTAATAAAACATACAATGGAGTATTGGAACTAAAAAAACATAAATTTGATTTATATGCATAGAAGTTATATTGATATAGATCATAAAAAGTAGGAATATAATGTTAGTTGAAGATTTTAGTGTAATCATTCGAATATTTTGTGTGACAAAACTGAATTTGTCAAGCTAGTTATTAGGAGGTGCGAAGTGCATAATCATTCAACGATATTACCAACTAACTTAATATCGGGGGTCTGGGGGTGGCAGCCCCCGGTAGCGGGGTCCAAGGGGCGGCAGCCCCTGGCGGGGTCTAAGGGGCAGGGAATTTCATGCCTGTAGCGGGGTCCAAGGGGCGGCAGCCCCATCGTAGGTCATTCAATTTTTTGTGTACAGAGTCTAAAACCTTAAAGATTATGATGTACAGATAAACGTTTAAAATCCACCAAAAAACTAAAATACAAAATGCATAACCCCTTAATTAAGAAGCAAATAAATTTATACGAAAAACACCTAAATATGTATATGGAGAAATATGTATATGGAGAAGGAATTAAATTAATGAGTTAAATTTAAAGTGTAGAAAAATCAAAAAGAAAAAAAGAGAAACGCAACACTACATTAACCGTTATCACTGGACCCACCCAACCCTACAGCAACTCGTTCATCTTCCCCGCTCCGCAACTACTGTTATCGATCGAGCAAGGCCGCACGACGATTCAATCAAACGGCAGGCGATTCAATCAAACGGCAGGTAGAAGTTCTCGATATAGCTCCAATTTATTCCATTCTAAGGTTGAGGTAATCCTATTTGTAGCTTCTAATTGTGTCCTTTGGTATTCCGAATTTGT